GTGTTCCTACAAAAGACTTCACAATGGCAAACCCGACAACTTCAATGGGAGCGGGGGAGTCATCACTTTAATGCAATGGTTTGAAAAGACTGAAGTAGTTTTCAAGTGTGCTCTTGCCCCGAAGCGAGCAAAGTTAAGTTCGCAGCCTTCACTTTCACCGGCCGGGCCCTTACTTGGTGGAACTGCCGGATTAATTCACTTACTCTCGAAGTGGCTAGCTCCATAACCTGGGCAGAACTAAAAACGTTGATGATGAAGGAGTACTGCCCGAGAGGTGAGATTCAAAAGTTGGAACAAGAACTTTGGAACCTCAGGATGACGGGCTCCGACCTTGAAACCTACACCACCCGATTCAATGAATTGGCTCTCCTCTGCCCAACAATGGTTACTCCGGAGGAGAAAAAGGTGGAGCGATACCTTTGGGGACTGTCTCCCCAAGTGCAAAGTAGTGTCCTGGCTTCAAGGCCAACTACTTTTGACAGTGCCAGGGAGCCGGCACAACAACTTGTTGACCACCGAGCCGGTCATAATACTACAACCACCACAATGATCAATCAAAAGGGGGAAACACAAAAGGAAGGAAGTTCTGGAACCAAAAGAAGAGCCAACCAGCACAGGACCCCGCTAAGAAGCAACAAACTGTTGCTGTCCATGCTGCCACTAATGCTGCCACTACTGCACCACCGAAGCCATATGCTGGAACCCTACCCAAGTGCAACAAGTGCAACTTTCACCACAATGGTGCTTGTAGGGAGATGCACTGTAACAACTGCGACAGGAAGGGGCACACTGCTCGTTTCTGTAAAGCGCCGGCTCGACCAATCAACCAAGTCGCCAGTACGGGGCAACCCGAACCTGCTACAACTGTGGAGACGCAGGTCACTTCAAAAGAAACTGCCCCAAAGCACAAGCCCCTAATGCTGGTGGAGTAGGAAGAGTCCTGGCAATAGGACATGGGGAAGCAGTCGAGGATCCCACGGTGGTTACCGGTACGTTTCTCCTCAATAACTCTTATGCATGCGTACTATTCGATAGTGGAGCGGAGAGGAGTTTCGTGAGCCACCAATATAAACCAATTACTTGAACAAAATCCCCAATCACTAAAGGATACTTATGTAGTAGAAATGGCAAATGGGAAAGTAGAACGCACTAGCGATATATACTCAGAGTGTACTCTCACTCTAGACAACCATACATTTAAAATTGACCTGATGCCGGTCACCATAAAAAGCTTCGACGTAATCATCGGGATGGATTGGTTAGTTCCTCACCGTGCCGACATTCTATGTTACGAAAGGGCCGTTCGCCTCAATCTACCAAATGACGAAAACCTTCTCATCTATGGTGACAAACCTAGTGCGAATTTACAAATCATCTCATGCATCAAAGCCCAAAAGTATCTCCGGAAGGAGTACCACGCCTTCTTGGCCCACGTAGTAGACAAGAAACAAGACGTGAAAGACATCAAAGACATCCCCGAAGTGTGTAACTTCCCGGATGTGTTCCCAGAAGATCTTCCTGGTGTACCACTCGCACGACAAGTCGATTTCAGAATTGACTTAATACCCGGAGCTACCCCCGTAGCCAGAGCTCCATACCGCCTCGCACCAACAGAAATGCAAGAGTTGTCCAGTCAGTTGAACGAGCTTTTGAGCAAAGGGTTCATCAGACCAAGCTTCTCACCTTGGGGAGCACCAGTCCTTTTTGTAAAGAAGAAGGACGGATCCTTTCGCATGTGCATCGACTATCGGGAACTAAACAAACTCACCATCAACAACCGATATCCTCTACCCCGAATCGACGACCTTTTCGACCAACTCCAAGGAGCAAATTTCTTCTCAAAAATCGACATAAGGTCAGGTTACCATCAGCTACGAGTTCAAGAAGAAGATATTCCCAAAACTGCATTCAGAACTCGCTATGGGCACTACGAGTTTGTGGTGATGTCCTTCGGTTTAACAAACGCACTTGCGGTATTCATGGACCTAATGAATAGAGTGTGTCGACCCTACCTAGACAAGTTTTCATAACACGTAATTCCGTTAATGACTTTGTGAGACATTTACTTCAAATTACCATTAAGTCCTGTATTGTAACCAGAGTCTCCTTGAGGGAGAGCGTGATACTTGTGTATAGATCTATATTGGGTTTGACAAACCCACACCTAAACTGCATGCAACAGTTAGACCGATAGGTCTGGGGTGACAAATGTCATAACATTTCCGACGCCTGAAGAACGTCGTTTTAGGCAACCTTGGTCATAATATGGTTATAATAAACTCACATAAAGTATTAATAAACATTGGAATTTACGGGAACTTCATTAAAATTTAACGAGTTTATGTCGATTTAAACTTGCATTGTTTTACTATAAATATGACAAATTACTTGTACATTCGGTCTTTGGGTTTAAGACTACATTTACACATAAGGAAATATTGGATTTTCTAACACAAATACTACTTTTACAAACGAAAGGCTTTTAATAATACCAAACAAAAGCTTATGAACTCACCAACCTTTATGTTGACACTTTTTCAAACAACTTGTATTCTCAGGAAATCATTAAACAGGTAACCAAGTGCTTTTGAGGATGGGGCGCTAAGGCGTCTACTATTTCATATTTTGTCAACATATTGTAATTGATTCGTAAACATGTAATTCATACAATGATGTCACTTTTTCAATTATATATATGTTGGTTGTGTTTGCTTCAATTACTATTACAATTGTTGTTATGATACTATACATGAAGTCCTCCACCCCCGGACGTTTCCGCCATCCTTGGTTTGGGGGTGTGACAGGAATGCACTAGTTTTAATCCTACTTTTTAATATAAATTAGACACACAAAAGACAGTGTACCTGTCGATTGGTGGTATAGTTTAGCAAGCAGGGTATCGAACACAGGGAACGACAATTAAGCTAATTACTAATATTATCTAAAAACAAACAATAAAAGAAAGGGTTTTCTCTAGTTTTTCAAGACTAGAAACTTAAGTACTTAACTAGTACTCAACTAAGCAACTAACAGCTAAGCAAACGAAAATCAACTAAATTCAATAACGGAAAAGACTTATGTTTAGGTTTTGAATCATTTATTCCTATGGTTGATTTTATGACAAATGCAATTTATTAATTAGCATTGGCTACCAATTAGTGTGATTAGGTTCTCGTTCGCTATTACTAATCCTTAGAAAACAAATCAATTTAAGCAGTGATCAAGTGATTAACCTAATAGATTTTCTAGTTTATTGATTCGGGTTAAGTAAGACTTGTAGTAGCTAATCAAATTGCTAATTCAATTAACCTCTTGTTGATGGTTCGTCACACAAGCTCACACATTAATTTACCTATTTTCCAATTAACCCGAGTTTCACGTTTGCTATTCCTAGGCATATAACACTGTTTTCACACAAATCACATAAGGTTCTTTAACAAGCTTAACAAAACAAAATTACCAAATTATATTAATCCAATCATAAAATCAAACCATATTCATAAAGTCATCTATCCTAAACAGAAGTTATGAGTTTTTAGCTCATAATTAAAGCAGAAAACAACTCAAAAACGAAATCAATTGATGCAAACATATTTTAAACAAAAGATTAAGTAAAGAGTATACTTGAATTGCCTTGATCTCCCCAAAATCGAATGCTTAGACTCGATCTTCAAGTTCCAGAGCTCCAACAGCAACTTGAATCGCAAATTAACCTTCAAGGGTTCCAGAGAGAAATCCCAAATTCATGAATTAAAGCCTTTATATAGTTTCTAAAAATAGGGGCTACTCGTCGAGTCCATAGACTGACTCGGCGAGTCCCCCACTTAAAATCCGTATGCGTCAAGGAATCTTATTTGTTCGCGAATCTTCGAACCTACTCGGCGAGTAGGCACCCAACTCGCCGAGTTCTGCAGGGTTTTTTTCTTTTTTCTTCTTTCTTCAATTCCCGAGCTTCCTATCGCTTTTTCTGCTTCCTTTTTCTTCCGAGCTCATCTTTTAGGCTACAAATACATTTTAAACATATTTAAGTACCTTTTGTTCATAATTTGCAATAAAATAACCAAAAAGTATTAAGATTTTACACAAAATATATGACTAATTATGCACATATCAATGGTCAAGGCGAGCATTAGCGGCCGCATGGCAAGCTGCAACCTTTGGAAGTTTCCATGTGGAAGTGAGAACAGATCACTATGGATTTTATCACCAAGCTACCGAAGACTGCCAAGGGTTTTGATGCTATCTGGGTCATCATGGATCAATCGACCAAGAGACCCACTTTTTGGTCATTCGGGAGAGCTCCCCGGCCAAAAATTTGACTGATGTGTATGTTCGGGAGATTGTTGTTTGTCATGGGGTTCCAATTTCTATTGTATCAGACCGAGATGTTCAGTTCAGTTATTGACTCTGGCAGAAGTTACACGAAGAGTTGGGTACGGGTAACAGTTGGCAAAAATAGAAATGATTATATGATGTCAAATATAAATTCTAAGCGATATGCAATTGATTATCATGAATTGCTTAAGAAATTAATAATGTTTAATTTCATAATATAAAATTTTTATGAAAGTAAGGAATATGATTAATGTCCAAGTCTACTTTTTATTCGTGTGATTATTTCTGTACATTCACACAAATGCAATTATATTTTGAAATATAAATTTATTCGTTTTGGTATCATGAGATATAACGTAACTTCTACATTATGTAAACATAACTGATTTTATTCTGTCAGAATAGTTTTGTTGTTAGAATGATGCTCTTTCAGAATTTTATTCTATTAGAATATTATTGAAAAATAACAAAATTCTTGAATCCGAGGTTGAAAAATAACAACATTCTAATATATTCTTATACATCCGAACTTAAATCCAAACTCATACATATTCTTACAGACTAAAACTCTTATATATTTTAATATAATTATACATATTCTAAAAGAATATCAACAAAAATGAATAAAATTTATAAAAAATAACAACATTATTAAAATGTGAGTATGATCAAACTTTATTCATTCTTCAAGTTATTCTTATTAGGTCTTCAACGCATTCTTCCAACCATTCCTATGACAAATACAACAAAAACTAATAATGGTTAAAAATACGTTACTTGCAATTAACTATCATTTTAAAATACATTCTGCCAGAGTACAAACATTCTGCCAGAATACAAACATTCTAAAAGAATGGATTTGTATAAATAAGTTATGACAGAATACACACACATCCATGCACACCTCATACTCAACTTTCATATCATAATAGACTAATTTTTTCTAAAAAAACAACACCAATTGGATTTTTTTTATATATTACAAGAGAGAAAAGTAAAAAACAAACACTAATGGTATCCTATTGAGAATTACAAGTTTAATAATGCATAGATTCTTCAAAATATTGATATATATTCTGGTAGAATACATAGAATATGAAAGAATACATTGGTGTTTTAGCAATATTTGCTTGGAAATTTCATCCTTACCACACACACAACTGGTCAAATATTTCACAAGCATGTTGATAGTAAAAATTACTAAAAAGTATGTTTTAAATATGGAATTAGTCAATTACCGTATATCCAGCCCACATATCAAATCACAAGAAACAAATATAAATTTCACAAGTACAATATCAAACATATTAATAACCCTTCAACATATTGTTCTTAACTTAATGATAAATCACTACATCAATAGTTTAGAAAACAAAGAGAAGTTATGATACTTAGTGTATAGTTCATTTAAACAAGTACGTCTAGATGCAATTTCACAATGTAGAATGTCAATGATTTATGTTAAATAATCAAAAAACAGTTTCTTTGTTTAATAGAAACTAGGTGGGGAACCCCCACGTTGCGGGGGTCGGATGCGACAATTTTTTCCATTGTTTATTCTTTGTAAATGTTATTTGATCAACTATTTGTTTACAGATTGGCGAATCCAGTTACCCTCGCCATGAAATCAAACGCTCATACAGAAGATTATGAATCACAAAAAAGCTCACCACTTGAGTTCTACAATCAGCTGAAGATTATGATACTCCACTTATAATCTGGAGCAATATATGTGCAATGTTCGCTTCAAAGGGTCATTTGAATGAATTGGTCAATAAGGGGGTGAAGCTCATTTGTATCACACCCAACCTTAGCCTTCAAATGCTCAATAACTTCTTGATCTTTCGGGTCAAACTTCACTTCGACTGGTAATCCAGGCAAATCTCGAATCAGCCCCTGAAGGATGCTCCACTTCGACCGGTAATCCAGGCAAATCCTTCTAGAGTGTCTAAAACAGAAATAATTTAAAAATATAATTTTTTTTGTTTTTTTTTTTAATTATTTGAAAATAATTAAAGTAATCAAAAGTCAACATATCCTTGACTTCGTGCACACATCTGTTCCAGAACCTCCAATCCTGTTTCAAAATGTCAAAAAACTGAAACTGAATAAGCAAAGGAAAAGCGTAAAGAGTGTATATATGTTTGGTTTATAGGATAAATGAATTAAAGAAGTCAATTTGGTTTTTGGATAAATGTGATCAAAGTGTTGAAACATTTTTTAATGTTTTATAAAGGGAATAGGAAAGTACCAAATGTATACAGCAATGATCTTATCAGTGTAAGGAGTAGCAAGACACCTAAGACGAATCTCCTGCATTCTAATCTTTTGAGCTTCTTGGTTCAAACGCTTCCATACAACTGCAAACAGGTGAACTGTTTATGTTACAGCTTCCATATGCCACCTTTCTTGTGGATCATCCTGAAAACCATTTGTTGATTCAACCGAGGATCACCCTATCGGCACATCATCTGCAAAAAATAAAAAAAAATTGGAAGGTCAGATAAACAGTGAAACAACAAAAAAGGAACAAATTGACATGAAACAGATTAAGGACTGAATAAAGTTTACCTACAATCTGGCAACGACGTAATGGCAGAATCAAACATCCATGGGACAGTAGTGAGCGAATTAAAAAAAAAAAAAATCATTTTATTAAATTGTTAGACGGTGAGTAGTTTACGTGGTGATGTTGCCACAAGAAATTGATTTCAGAAATAATCAAAATCTCTCATATAAGTCAGTTACATTAGGTAATGAACAAAATTTCTTCATAAAAAACTCAGATCAATTCAATCAAACAAACCCTAGAAGCAAAATCAAACTTGCTGCCAACCATGACCGGGATCACCGTCTGCAACCAATCAATTTGACCGGAATCATCAGACAAAAAATTTGATAATAAATTTTCAAAGACTTTTGAACCGAAATAAAAATGAACATCCACTCACCTGATTATGTTTTCTGGCTTCTTGATACCAATTAACTACACTGAAAATCAAAGAGCCCTAACTCAATTAACAATTTCCGTTTAAAAAACCACCAATAATAATAAATAATACTTATAAAAACTTAATTATTTACACCTGTTCAAGGTACACCGGCTGGAAGATCAAACATGAACAACATTGCTACAGAGTCTTTACAGGCGGGACGAATTGCTTCCGTTGAACCACCGTTATCTGCAATCGCAACAACCCATTTCAATTTCATGAATCCCTTTCCAATAATGGAAGAAATTGTTCAGAAAATTAATCGAAATTCATGTTTTTTACCTGCAGAAAAAAAAACTATATATAGGGGTAGTTTAGTCACAAAACCGTTAATGATAAAAAGAATATGTATTTTTTTACTGCTAAAATCAGTCAATTTAAAAAAAATGCATTTAATTTGAACATAAAAAAACCGGTCTTTCAACAAAATTGAAATATGAACAAAAAAAACATTACATAAGGACAGTTCAGTCAACATGTGTATTTTATACCACAACCAAATCAACTTTTGGTCTTCTTGCATGCTACAATGCTTTATCCCTTGACACAACACCATGTCCTATAAAGTTAGCATTGTGCTGAAGCTTATATAAAATAGATAAAATATAAAATAGATAAAATAACATTTTCAAGTAAACATCATTCTTATTGAAATATATGTCCAACTTCACACAGTATAAAGTACAAAAAGGTACATAAATTAGATATTTGTTCAAAATAATATCATATAAAGACATGATAAATGCCTTTTAATTTTTTTAATATGTCGTGTGTTTGGTAGTTAAAATAGTAGGGACATACCTTTTAAATAAAAACACCCTGGTTGTGAAATGATAGTAAATTATTTAAATAGTAGGGACATACCTTTTAAAAAAAAATTGGCTGATAAATGCTAAATTGTACCCTTAATGCAGTTTTATTGAGTTTATTCTTTGCTGAGAAGTGTTCCAGCCTTCATTTAACACCATCAGTCAATGGAACATTTTGAACCTTCTTTGAATTCAATAACTTGGGGTGATCTGCAATTAAAATATATAAGTAAATAAAAGAGAATTTCATAGAAGAAAACATATTTTTAACAAATTAGTACCTACATTGTGTAGTATTACCAAGAACCTGTTCACCTGTAAGCCACTATTTTTTATCTGGATCAAGCATTTTCTTCATACATCCTTTGTATTAAAATATCACAGTTACTTCACTAAAAGATACAAATAAAAGAAGGTAGGTTCCTATCAGTGGGCCCAAAGTGTCCAAGTTATGGACACAATCTGCATTCAAAAAATATAAAGTAAAGCTAAAATTATTAGTATACGTGTATCACGGTCGAGAAAAGGTGTTCAAATCCACACTAGAGTAGTTGATTTTTCCCATTGACCGGTAAAAGCAGCAGCCTCCATACAGTGTTTTAAATTACCAAATCTTTAATGCCTTTTTTCATGTTATACATAGATCTCCATATAAAACCGAGGGGAAAAATATATAGTCAGGGCATTTTGGTCTTAAATAAGAAAAAGAAATGTTGGATGGAACATTACCTGAAGGAAACATGAGCCAACTTTTTATCAAACAGTTGGTGGGCAACCATCAATTCATGTGTCCAAACCATTGATAGACGAAAGCAAAAATACTGCCTGAAGAGCAACCATTAATTCATGAGTCCAAACCATTGATAGACGAAATTGAACCAATGGCGTAACAGATGGAGAGAAAATCCATGTAATCATCTAAAAATAAAATGAAGATAAAAGTGAATATGAAGACAGGGTCATAGAAAGAAACGAAAATAGGGTTGAAGTTCATTACCTGAACCGATTGCAGGTGTGGGTGCTATCTAGGGGTCGAGTGCGTCGAGACATCGATGTTATCTAGGAGGTGGAAGCGGTGACTGTGAATATGAGCAATAGGCGTCGACCTATTCGGTTGATCGTAAGCCAGAAAGTGGAATTGATAAAAGAATAGTTTGAAGGAACATGTCGTCGATGGATGAGAAAGCCCCAATTCCAAAAAACCAAACTCATGACCCGATTGACCTACACCCTCGATGAAATCGAGGGCCCTCTCGAAGTATCCTCCGATGGCACCATCAAATTCGAAAAGAAAGACAGAATCGACTATGCGGCCGTCACTATTCAGCTTCACGGAGGTGAACGTGTACCATTCCTGTTCACGATCAAACAACTTGGCGCCTCCGGTAAACCGGAAAGCTTCGGTGTCGTACAGAGGCTCTTCGTTTCTCGACCCAAAGGGCATAGGTGGATGAGAAAGCAGGTGGGGGAAGGTAAGCAGAACCGTTGGGGGAAGGCGGGGGAGCGACACGTACCAGCTCCATTCTTCTCTTCTAAGGGACCAAATTGTCAATACCACAAATTTTAATGCCAAAAATCTGAACAACCCAAAATATGAAAACCTATGGGCCATTTTTGCCAAAAAATCAGAATGTTCACTGTTCAATGAAATGGTCCTCTTTAATATATATATAAGAATTCTGGACAATACAAGAAATATGATAACGTAAATTCATGTCCTCAAAAATGGTTGGAACACAAATTCCTTTGAAAATTCAATAAAGATGCTAAAGCAAAAAGTAAAACCAAATAAATAAATTGAAGGGTTTTTTTATTGGAAAAAATCCACATTTTGATGGGTTCCCAAATTGGACCACAAAGTTTATGCGTTTCTGCATCTTTTCTTTGGGACACAATTTAAAAGATATTGAAATGTGGGAGGCCATAGAGGGAAGAAGAAAGCATGAGGAAGACGCCACTAGACTTGTCGGTGTGAATTCAAATTTTTTTTAGAAAAATAGCGTATCAATTAAAAAGGTAGTAACAATATGAAATTAGGATTTACCTTCATTTAAGAACATAGTCGGCACATATATCTATCACTTGTAGAATTATAACAAAACTCTTTCCCGGTGAAGATTGCTCTGACGAAGGTGTAGGTGGCGATGGCAGGAAGTGGTTCAGGCGATGGGTTTTTAGGTTTTTATAATCTAATTTTCCTTGATTTAAATGCTATTAAATGGAAATTGACCCATTATTTTAGGGATTGTAATTTTGGAATATAATTAATTGTATATGCAAAGATTACTATAATACCCTTAAATGGTTTATTTAATGATTTATTATTTCCTCAATTCTTATTGGTGCATACATGCACACAATAGTTGCTAGAAACATTTGAACCTAACGTTCTCTCTCTCTCTCTCTCTCTCTCTCTCTCTCTATATATATATATATATATATATATATATATATATATATATATATATATATATATATATATATATACACTTGAAGATATTATGTTCTTGGGTATAAGTATTACAATAAAATATATTATGTAAATACATAAAAGGGAATATGTAATAAAAATAGGGAACCAATTCTAAATAAGAAGAGAGTGGTGCAGAGAATAAAAGGTTGAGTGTTATGGAATGTACCCAAATGAACAATTGAAGCAAATTTCCAAAAAAATCTCTATGGCACACATATGTAATACACGCACATGCATGGGAACAACCTTGTAAGACAATGGTACAAACAAATAAGTTGGAGAATCATGGAGCACATGGGAGGTAACTAACAACAAACTACTCTTTATCAATCTTGTTAGTCATCATACCTCTCACTCTCTCTAACTATATTCTAATCTCTAAACTATAAATCACCAAAGAACTAATAGTACACATAATCTAGAGTTAGGATCTTGATGGACACAAGTTGCCACATGATATAATCTTTCACAGATATCACAATTTAATTCATCTTTTCTTCTCACCCAAGTACTCACGAGATTTTCTTCCTATATGTTCTATTTCTATCTTCTTCTAACCTTTTCAATTACAATCTATTAAACAGTCAAAGCTCACTCACATTTTAGCCCTCCCTCACTCGATTTCCACCAGAAAATGAGAACAAGAGAGGAGCTCTTGCCGTCTCGGTTTGGACAGAAAAACGAAGGCAACAAGGGCTGTTGTCCCTCCTTTCTTTTCTGCTTTCGAACTAGCTCCGTCGCCTCTCTTTCCTTCGTTTTTTATCAGATCCAGAAGCCAAGAAGGTAGTCCCCTTTTACAACTTTTCTTCCTTGGTTATTACTCAATGAAAACAACACAAAAGCTTGACCTTCTTGTTAAATTTCCGATAAACAAACCACCCAAAACAACGCTTATTTTGAGTAAAATGAAAAGCGACCAGAAAGCTATATGTTTTGTTACCATTTTTGAAAACCAAAACAGTTGGAACACTTTTCATGTGATAGTAACCTAAGAAACATGTCCCTTTTTCTGCTAAAGAGAGAGCATGTCAACAAAGACACTTCTTGGCAGTATGCTATGGAAATAAAAAGAACAAAAAAAAAAAGACTACTTTAACATTTCTTTTTTTATTATTCATTTTATCGTAAGTATAACAAACATTATTATAAAAGTAAAAGGTAAATATATTTAACTCATTAATTTATATTTGTTTGTGTTAAGACCCTCCGAAAATTAATTCGAACCCAAGTTGGCGGAAACCGGAAACGTCCCGAACTAGAAAAGGAATCATCTCATGCGAGCGACAAGAGTGAGTATCTACGCCCCCATTTTAATCTTTTAAATCATTGCCTGGGGTGGGGGTGGGGGTGGGGGTGGGGGTGGGGATACACGTAACAAATCATGTCATATAAACTTATTTTCACTTATTAGATCTAACTTATTAAAAATCACCATAATGCTATAATTCATTTTATGTAAAAATCTATATAAAATGAATTATATAATTATTCTTGTATAATCCTAGTTATATAAATCATTTGTGATTAATATGAAAGAAATTGAATTCACTATGCTAATGAACGGTAAAAACGGATATATATATATATATATATATATATATATATATATATATATATATATATATAGATTAAAAGGGAGTTCCTTTAGGAATAGTACACTTTTGGCTTTTCAGATTTTCGCCACCAAACTTTTCTGTTTTTAAACTTTTGACACTTTATTTTCGTTTCTTTGCATTGGCCACATAAATTTCTTGAATTGACATTTTGGTCTCATTGAACCTTCCGGATGTATCCTCCATATGGCTGATGATCTGGTTGTTGTGGAGGCCACGTGTTCTCTACCTGCACAAAGTATTTGACCCCTCCATCGCCTCTCACCGATTATGTTCTTGTGTTCTTCCTAAATCCGGAAGCCTACCATGATTTTCTCCAATATCTACCATATATACACCTTTGATCTCTTACGAACGCAAATGCAACCGTCACCGGCAATGCACTGCTTCGATTTCCCGATCGGTCTACAAGGTGATCTAATCTCAGGTATGTTCTTCAGGTTCGTCTTGAAACTCTTCTTTCTTATTTGGTTTCTTTTTGTAATTTTGGATTATAACCATAATTTATATCTATGACTCGATTTGTTTTCTCCGATTTTCTAGGGTTTGTGTCTTGCTTACCTGTTCGACACCAACACCAGCACCGTTTTTTTTTCTATTTTCACCTTAACCCCAAAAAGAGTCGCCAGCCGATCGCATCTAATTTCATGGACTCGCCGTCCGTCCGTCGCATCGCATCTAATTTCATGGAGTTGCCGTCCGTCCCATCTAATTTTATGAAACCGACAGCCACCATCTTTCGTTATTCATGGTAATTGCCACATTTATTTTTACTTGTGTTCCTATGCTCTCTCACCGCCTTTCTCTTCCTCTGGCACCAACGAATTCCAGAAACAAAAAATAATTGCTCCTACATTACGCCATATGGAGGTTTGGTTGGGAGGTGGAATTCAGTGATCCGCTGCTACCTGTTGCGTCCGTTTCCGACTTGCACTTCCCACATGATGCTTCCGTTTGCTATGCTAGGACCCAGGTAGGTCTTACTTCGTTTTATCTATACTTCCCGTTTTCTTTTCTACATCGTTTCCGATTCTGAATTATCTTTACTACATAGAATTTTCAAGGGTTTTATATAAAACAAATTCCATGTTGACTTCTCCCGAAATGAAATTGATATGCTCAGACCATTTGTCAATTGTTGTTATATGATTGGGAGAGTTTACTTATTCTTTTACAATTTTCAATTAATGCGTCTACTCTTTTACAATTTTCAATTAATGCGTCTACGTTTTTTTTCATGTTATTTCTTCTGATTCTCTTTGCTGTTGTTTTCCTAAGTATTTCTTCTTGGATGCTCTTCTTATTGGAACTGTAATATCTTGAAATGAAATATAGGGTTGAATTTGCTTGTGAGAAATATGCTTTTTGTAAAAAATTTAATATTTTCTTGGTCGATTGTGTTTAACTGTTTCCCATTTTTGGATTTCTTTGCAGCCTATGAATGAGGTTACAATACCATGTATTCCATCTTATTCTATGCAGTGAAATGTTATACTTGAGATAACAGAGGTAAAAAAAAGTTTAATTTTTTTGGTTTACTTAAATTGATCAACGAGCTTATTATTAATATTTTTGTTAGAATATCAGGTTTCTTTGTTGTGAGGTTGGAGTTCTCATTCAGATGGGCTTTTAGACTCTGCAAGCGGCTGCTTACAAGATATTCACTTGCTAGATGGTCAGTTCCCTATTAAGTCCTAACTTCATACCAATTTACCCTTATTTAGTTTTTTCCTTAATTTTTTATAATGTCTGAATGGGTAAATTATATATGTATGGATATAGTGTTGTATACATAAGGTTTGTTTTTCTTTTTTACACTAAATAAACTGTCTGAATGAGACTAAATGACCATTTTATCCTTACATTGAAAAAAAAATTAAACTATATCATTAGTTTTAACAACATCAATTTTAGCTTATAGAGGAATTCGGTGGAAAAAAGAAGGGCAAATAGGTAAAAGGGTTCCAATTAAGTCATTTTGTCTGGATAAAGTCAAAAGGAAACAACCATGTATAGGTGTCGAGTTTAAGTGCTTAACTCATTAAGCCAATCAAGTAAAAAACAAACAAGCCTTAAATTAGTTCAAATGTGTATGTAGGCATGCATAAAAATGAAGATGTTAATGCTATTGTTTCCTTAATGAGAAAGCTCTACAGCTTCATGCTTATGGTTCCATGTTATCCATTTGTGGCTTACTGGTATTTAAAGTAAATGTTTACTATTAAACAATTTTTTTATATAATGCTGAATTTAATTGCTAAAGGTAATAATTTGGAATAAGGAGCTACCTACATAGCAAAGAACATATTGTCCTTGCTTAATTCCCAATCATGGTTAGGCTTCTGGCTCTCATTTTTATAAATAAAAAATAATATACATTTTATCATTATTATTATTTTTTAATTAATTATCATGGTTTTGTAGGACTACACCAAAATCAAGGATAAGGGTTCTAGGTTCACTTCTTTCGTTTTTTTAATTAATTATCATGGTTTTGTAGGACTACACCAAAATCAAGGATAAGGGTTCTAGGTTCACTTCTTTCGTTTATCTGCAACATTTTTTCAAAATGAACTCCCTTATCATGAAATCCATGAAGAGGTATTGAATTTTCATTCATTAAAACTAGG